CCGCCCCCGCCAATTCCAACGCCAAGCGCCTTTCCAAGCCCAAAAGCAAGTCCCAACCTCAGTCACCGCTCCGCCATTAGCGCACAAACGGACAACTACACTCAATGCGGGGGAGAAAGCCGTTACTTGTCATAAGTATGCAGTAGCATAGCGGCTGGATACTGTAACTCCCTGTGAATGATAACCCGTTTCTGTTATTGTCTTTGATGATGGATCGGCGACGGGTTTCTAAATGTGAGGCGGAGCAAAGTCTTTTCCCAGCGATCGCATCTTCTTCTCATGCAGTTTTTTTGACAACTGAAAGACACCCTTTTATAAGCATACATAATTTGCATCCGAAACACTATACAAAACAGTATTTCGTAGAGAATATGATTGAACCTATAGGGGCATCAAAATTCAATCGATAAGTGCATTGTTATGCAGTGCTAAGACGCTCGAGAATAATTGTTTCCGAAAAATGATATCTTGGCGTATATTAAAAGCAGGCTAAAACAGCAGAATTTATTTACGGAAATAAATTTCGAGAGAGCTTATCAACTGCGTCTTCTCTGTGCATAACGAAACAATTAGAGAACACATCATTTTCAATTTTCACTAAGTCGATCATAGCAAGGTCATGCTAATTCTGCTGTTTTGGCCTGGTTAAAGGTTGAACGCTCTAACTCCAGCGGCTCGTTGGGTTGCCGGTTTAAATCTGCCCTAATAGCATTGCGCGCGTTAGCGTATTACGCGAACACGCGCTTTACGCGTGCTTGATTTTCATTGGTTGGGATAAGTACGTAATCGATAGATGATTGGCTTATCGATTTTTGCATGCTCTCGTGCGCGCGGCGGACGCCATTTTCACGCGGCGCTTTTTGCCGATAAGACGCACAAGCGCCCTCTCGTTACTGTGACTGTAAATCCGGTAAACCTATTATTTTTTTGCTGTTTTCTTCAGCGTGTGGAAGCCGCCATCAAAGAGAACATTACGATGGCGTGCTTTGCGCGGCTATCTTGAAGATTTACGTCAACTTGCTCAGGAAACAAGGGAAATGACGAGATAGTCAGACTGTGTTGACTCTTCTTGCAGTTCTCCATCTGAAGATGCAGACTGTAGCACATCATCGTGGGAGGAAGGTAGTAATTGGAGCAGTTCGGCATCCGAAGAAGTAACCGAACAGTCAACAAGTAACCCAGCGATGGAGCAAGGGCACAGTCTGTAGGTGCTTTGCGGTCTAGACACCAACATCGACACCATGGTGTCGGATGACGGCGTGGTTGATGACGACGGCTAATAAGCCAAGAAATGGCCACTCCTGTCTCCCTCGTCCTTCTGTCAGCAATGCTCCTCTGCCAATAATACTAGCCGCTGCTGTGTGGCTGTTGGCGTGGCTCGAGGGTGAGCCCCCAGAGAGGGACGGGTGAGTTCCGCTAGCGGTCGGTTAAAGTTCGTCGAATGTCAGTCCCAACAGTCTTCACCGCCTACTTCAGCTCGTTGAATGAAGCACTCACTAAAGCAGCTAATGTGGGAAATTCCACTTCTTAGAGGCTGGCCTACAATAACCGAAAATTGAACGAATGGAAAGCTTGCCTTAGTGGGTGCCGTAGACTTGGCGCTAACATGCTAGACTGTATCGAATAGGAACTGGAAGTGAGAAAATAATGCTCATTTGCACATAATACTAGCCGCCGTTGTGTGGCTGTCGGCAGAACGGGATGAGGGGGTTACGTTAGCTCGAACGCTGAGTATTCATCAGCGGATGTTAACATTCCCGATTGCAAGCGGCAAGCCAGCAAATTCATGACGCAATGACTTAGAGCGTTGGACTTGTAACCAACAGGCCGCGAGTTCAAGCTTCAGGGTCACCACCCCTGGGGTTGGGTATGGCTAGCTGACGGCCGTGTCGTTGACGTCAATGTTCACCCGGTGGTAGAGAACAGTACGCCTCTCAAGCGCGTATTTTT